CTTGTGCAGTCTGTCCCCTTTTCCGAGTCTCTTCATATTTCATATTCCTCTTTTTGTTTTTTGGGTCCTCTTTATCCCCATGTGTTCTCTGTTGTTCCTCCGCCTCTTCGTTGCCGCGCGGATTTGGCTGGTCGTTCGTGGCAGCCGGGGCGCGCTGCACTTAGCAACGGTCCGCCAGGCCTCGCATGCGGCGGATTGGTCCGTGTTGCGCTCCAAGTGCATAGGGCGTCCCTCCACTTCGCGATGCGCTGCAGCCGCGCGGCATTGCGTTGCAGCGCGTTCGTCCCCCTCCTTCCTTTTCGCTCCTGCGAGCCATTCTGTCTTGCCCCGCTCCCCGCCCCGCTTCGCTTTCTGTTGGCAGACGGGCGTCGGACGGCGTTCCGTCTTCCCCTCCTCGCCCCTTCAATCCAGGCTCCGGCGGCCGATGGGGGCGGGGAGGTCTTGCATGGCGCCCCTGCCGTGTGGTGGGGGGGGGCATTTGCTATCGTTCCTCATTTTCCGGGTTCTTCCCGCCCCCGCGTTCCGCTTCACGAGCCCCGCCACTTGCGCTCTCCCCCTGTCGTGGAGCCCGCGATGCGAGGTAATCTCGAGCGTCGATGCCGTTACGTTATGCTTTTTGGGTGGCTTCATTGTTTGGGTGTTTGGTTGCGTGGCCCGTTTGTTGGTTGACCAGGTTGCGTTCGCACTCCCAGTTTGTTTTCCGCACCGCCTCCTTCAGCCCCAGCCGCTGCTGTCGTAATCGCGCCCCCTCCGCTCCTCGCAGCCATTTTCAGCATCGCAGGATGCGCGCGTTTTTCCCCGCGGCGTGATTGGTGTGACCAGTTGTTTGTTTGACGCATCCGCATCCCGCCCTCCCGCCCCCTCTCCCTTCGACGTCCTCGCGCACGCGTCGTGCGCATGGCAGGTCCGCGGACACCTTGGCGCGCTGACAGCCAGACCCATTCGTAAGCAAACCCGCTGACACTTAGACCCACTTACACCCGACGGGGACTCACTCACACAATTCTCGCACATCATCATTCAGACTCGCTCGCCCCCGCTTTCAACCAGATCTAGACCAATCGTGGCTCGATGCGCTCATGCGCGGCATTCGGCTCACCGATGTGTAGCAGGCGTAGCAGTGCGGTGCCCCAGGGAGGCGCCGCCTGGGAATGGCCGTTTGGCAGAGCACACCCCTGTGTTGACGGACGCGCGAAGGCGCGGCAAAACTGGGCGCCCCGAGGAGCAGCCGCCAGGGGGGCGGACACGTGTCCCTTCGCGACCTCGTTGTGAGGACGTTCCAGGCTCCTTCTAGGTGGCTCGACCTCATCGTTGCCCTTCCGGGGACGGGGGAGGGGGCGGAGGGGGAGGAAGCGGTGGTTGTGGAGTTGGGAGGTCGGCTCCTTCTCCTGTTTCTCGTGCGTCGCGCCCTCGGGGGTCCCAGGCCTGCCCACCAGCGAGGAGAGGCGTGTCTGGCAAAGCATGCAATTCTATGTTGAAAGACGCAGGATCAGCGCGGCATAGCAAGGGTGCCACTTGGGCGCCCAGAGGGGGCGCCGCCAGGGAGCAGCGCACCCGCCCGTTCGCGCCCACACTGTGTGCGGGACAGATTCTTCTTTGTTGAGGGCCGCGTGGTCGCCGCGACAAGGCACGCGCGGCACTTGGTCAACCCGCAAAGGGGCCGTGCCCATTCGCGCCCGCAGCGCGGTGGGTGTCTCAACCGGTTGGCACGTGTCGTGGGTCAGACCTTTTTGTTCAGTTGAGCGGCAACATGACCGCCACGATGTGGCAGGCGCGGCGCCACAGCACCCCAACGACAAAACGCTACGATGTATGATGTTTGCCCCCATCGCGCGAGTGCCGTGGGGATGTGTTCGGCGGTTTGCTCGTTCTGCGGATGGGAGTCGCCTCCTGCGGGGGGCACATGACCACCGCGATATAGCGGGCGTTGCAATCAGACGCTTCAGCGGTGAATTACCAATGAGGGGTGCACTGGCCCTCTCGCGCCCAGGAGCAGCTTGCCCCCCCTTGCCCGCACTCAGTTCGATGCGGTCTGAGCGTTCACACACTGTTCATTCATGTTCAGAGTTGCCCATATCCATATTGCCCGTATTCAGACCACGCCCATTCAGTCCCATTGATACCCAGACTCATGCATACACGACATGTTCCCCATGCTCGCACGCAACCGCGCTCTGTTCCACTCGCACTCAGACCCACCCTCATTGAGACTCAGGGGCGCTACAGTGGGGGGAACCGCCATCATGCGGTGCTACATTTGCCCATCCCCAGCTTGATTGTGGGGACACATCAAGAAAAGCATTGGTTGTGGCACCCGCGGGCCTTTTTTATTTTGAATCACATGATCATCGCGGTGTAGCAGACGTGTCACTTGGGCACCTCAAAGGGTCGCCGTTAGAGAACGCTCAGTCGCCACAGGCTGAAAAGCTCCCACTCAAACACTCACAGCGGGACGTGCCCAGAAAATATGTGCACGCATGGAGAACTGGTTGGGTTGGTTGGTTGATTGGTTGGTTGGTTGGTTGGTTGATTGGTTGGTTTGGTCGGCTCTGCACTCCCCGGGTTGCTCGGCTAGTTGGCGCGGGGCTGAGTTGCCGCGGGGGTTGGTTTCAGCAAGGCCCTGCGGCCCCCGCATCCCATGCTGCCCATGCTGGTGATATGGGCCATCTGAATCGTGCGGCCCTTGCGGCTTGCGGATTTCATCGGGCCCATGTGGCATATTCCGTTTCCGTCCGCCGAACAACTCGCCGTCCGCGTCCAGGTGTCGCCCGTGTCGCTGCACACTTCACGCTTTGCAGAAGCCACAGCGACAAAGGCGTCACCAGCACGCGAACAGCGATTCTATGTTTTTTGTAAGAGGATTGCTTTTGTTTCCGGCCAGGTGGCGCCATGCGATACATTCGCACAAAACGGTGTTTTTGCTCAAGTTTCCGGCAATTGTGCGGAAATCCAGCCAGAATAGTATCTCTTAGTCGTGGTGGTGGAACATTGGGCCCTCGTTGGTGCGGGCACAATGGGGGCCCTCGATCGCCGAATGCGATGCAGCGCTTGCGTCTTGCGCGCTTGGGTTGAGACCCCCCCCCGCGGATCCCCGAAAAACCGTGGACCACAGGTAACTTGCGCCGATGGGGTCCGAGCGGAAGGGCGTCGGGGTCCGGGCCTCCCAGGAGGGGGCCGGGCGGATGGGGCCGGAGGACCGCGCCACATCGCCAATGCATCGGCGGTGCGGTTCGTGGGGGGCATCCGAGCTTCTCCGCGCCGACGGCGACGATGCATCGAGAACGTGGCGGCGATGCGTTCGCGATGCGGCGCGACCCTCCGACCATTTTGGGGGGCCTCTGGAGGGGGTGTGCAGTTTGACCTTTGGTGGCGGTTTCGTCCTCCTCGTTTCCGCTGCTTCTTGGCCTTCGGGGATCTGCTCGTCGCCGCGGCCAAACGCAGCTCGAGCAGTTGGTCAGTGAGGATCCTGGAGGGCTCCGGAGACAAATGTTTATAGGATTTTGGTCTGAGGGTGGGGCGGGGGAGTAGGGTGGGGTAGGGCGACCCTCTAATCTAGGCTTCCCAGATGGGGTCGGACTAGATGGGGTCGGAGGATCGCGCCGTATCGTCGATACATCGGCGATGCGGCTCGAAGTGGAGCCCGATTTTCTCCACAGTGTAGTCGCCGATGCATCGCCGATGTATCGGCGATGTATCGCCGATATATGGGCGACGCGGCGCGATCTTCCGTTCGCATAGATTCAGAACCCACTTGGGCGGCCTATATCTAAGCAGCCAGGGAGCTTTCCGAGATGCTTTCCTGCCGCCCACGAGGCCCATCTCACACCACCCCGGTCCCTGCTAAGATTCCCCTCTGCCTTCTCAGGAGGTCGCCCCCTTCGCCGGGTCCCTCTCGCACGCCTGCATGAGCAGCCGAAGACATACCCTCAGGATCGGAAAACGGCCAACAGATCAAGGCACTGGAGCTAGTTCGGGAATGTCTGTCCCTCTACAAGAGGAGTTTTCAATAATAATAAAACATAGTCTGGGGACGATTTGTCTATCATTTTTTTTGGTATCTATTTTTGGACATTCGTTGCTTTTTTATTTTTCCTCCAAAATCCGCCTGTAGGAGGGCATACCCGACCTGACACTGAAGCTGTTTCACTATATTCGGCCTCCCGAGTCTCGCTTCTGGCCCTGATGCCGTCAAAATTATTTCCGCGGCAGGAAGTCTGTTCTGGGAAGGTACCGAGGACTGGGGACCCCATGTTGGACAAATCACCACGTCAGAGGTTTGGGCTTATATGTGCGCACTTGTCCTGGGTCCAGGACTGGCCAGGTCTGGGTGCATGTGCCCGCACCGATCCTGGGATCAACTTAGGCTGATGCTGATGTGCCCCTCGATGACGCGGCACGCGTGGCGACACGGTGCCTGACGGCGCTAGTGGCAGATGGTGATGGGAACCATTTGAGGTCTGGCGGCAGCAGCCCAGACGCGCAGAATGCCGCCGACGAGGCCATTTTTCGGGGGCCGACGGGAGCGACGGTATCCTACCGCAGGCGATGGCGAAAAGGTGTAGATACGTACCAGAAGCGTCGAAATTCCGACGCCTTGCATATTCCCACCAGCCCACTTGCAGATTCCCACCAGCGCAACCCGCAACGACTCAGGGAGTTGTCTTGACAAGGGGAACTCTTGAGACTCTCTTGAAAGCCTCTTGTGTCCTCTTAGAGCCATCTTGTAGGAAATCTTTCAAACAATGGGGCGGCATGGACTGGGGTCGCCAATTTGTGGCTTCAAGAGTCACCACTTGGAGCCAGTTTTAGTCCGCTCTTGGGTGCCCTCGGTGCCGTCTTGGAGCCATTTTGGGAGCCTCTCAGGATCTCTTGGGACCCTCTTGGGGCCCCCAGAAGGGGGAAGCATGGAGTTGGAAAAGCGAATTTGTTAAGGGGCACACGCCCTAAAGGGCTTGCAAGAGTTGGGTGGCCTGGGAAACAGGGCTCTCCTGATTTGATAGGGTGTACTTCGAGTCTCGCCTTCGTTGTCAAACGATGCCAAGCCCCACTGCACCAGCGGCCTTCTTCGTTTGTGCTCTTCATCCGTCGGCCAGTCCAGTACGTGTCGGCCTGGTGGTCAGCCGGGCAGCTGGCAGTCTGGCAGTTGGTCAGTCTGGCAGCAGCCTGGCTGCAGCCTAGCGGCCAAGCGTCTGGCAGCAGTCCGTCAGTTGGCCAGTCTGGCAGCTGGCCAGTCTGGCCCGAGATCGGTTCTCGCCCTTTCCTTTGCGCGCCGCCGGCCTCGCCTCGCCGGGGCTCTGGCCTGGTGAGGTCCCGAGGTCCTGGCGGCGCCGCCGCGGGGGAGGCCCCCTCGCGTCTGGCCGGGCACGGAGTGCCTACGTGGGCGGGCACGCTGCTCTCTGGCCACCCTCGCGCTCGCGGCCTCTCGCTCTGGCAGTGCGGGTGCTCGGCGCCGCCCAGGGCGCGAGCTGCGCCTTGCCTCGCCTCTGGGCGCCTGCCTGCCCGCGAGCTCCTGTCCACCGTGGGCCGGAAAGGAGATTGAACGTGGTAGGAGCAGCGCCTCACCTCCCCCACTTCCCTCCTCCCTTGTGTTCCTCGTCCTCGGCCTCGCCTTCGTTGCGATTGTCGTCCTTCTCCTCCCCAGATCTCCGACGATTCGTTTTTGTTCAAGTTGCTGGCCCCATGACGACGACGACGACGACGACGACGACGACGACGACGACGACGACGACGAAAGTTGCATAATTCAATCGGCAAATGCACTTGAAGCCTTAGCGATGATGAGCTGGGCTCGCAGCAACGCAGTACGCGCTGCGAGCCGACGCCCGTGTCGACGTTCTGGTGCTCCGTCTCGCTCCAGTCCCGACGGCGGTGGGCTTCGGCACGCAGAGGTCGCTGACGACACCTGCCTTGAACGCCCACCTGGTATTCTCAGAGAACAACAAACGGCATACGCATAAACTTTTGGCGTTCCGCGCGGATTGCTTGGATCCGCGCTGGAGCGCTCTGGCGGCGCCTCCGGCGCCGCCCCTGGCGCGCTCCGCGCGCCAGGGAGGGGGGGCCAGCGCGGATCCAAGAAATCCGCGCGGAGCGCAAAAAAGTTAGGTTTATGCCGTTACTCTTCTTCTATGTTCGCCGATGGCGAGCCCCTGCAGCCCGCTGCAGGTGATGTCCATGAGGCGCCAGGGCTACAGCCTCGAGGTTAACAGGCGGCAGCGCCATGCCCTGAAGGCGCCCGCTGCCCCAGACGGGGGCCCGCGCCCGAGGAGACCCCTGGGGGGGCAGGCTGGCCCAGCCCTCTACGAGGGATCGACGGGAGGGAGGGGGGATGGGGGGTGGGGGGGATGAGGGAGGAGGAGGAGGAGGAGGAGGAGGCGGAGGAGG